CTTCAATTTCTACACAAGGTACGCGGTGTGGCTGCAAATTTTGATCCCGCTGAAAAATCGAAATTTGATGTGGCTAATTCGATTCAAAATGAGATTGCTAAGATATTAGGCTTTACGTGCACAACACTTACGAGGAAGGATAAATACTTGATCTTGGCAGGTAACGAAGGAATCGTTCGAGATGGAAACGCTAGATGAATTGTGTGTGTTTGTCAACAATGTAAATCGAACTTACATAAACTAAAGATATACTGTCCTAATTTGTTATAATTTAAGTGATTTTATAAGTTGTGATTCCTACTTAATGTGTTATAATAAATGAGTAGCAGTGTCGGATCCTAGAAACTTTTAGTAATGTATATAGGCATGTACTTATGATAAGTGAAAAGCTATTTTGTCTTCTTGTACTAGTATGAGTGATTATAAAGTATCTTTGTGTAACATATTTTGTATCTCCCAAAAGTGGTTCTTCACGTCTTTGCTATTTTCTAGTGACGAACTTTATAATTCTACCTGATGAATATGACATGATTATTATTTCCGAACATAAATATTAGGGAACAAATTAAAACTACTAGATGAAATACAATTGAATGTTGCGTCACTCATACGATGTACATGTTTCGTATATAATACGAAAATCTTAAATTGATTTTGATGATGTTTCGATTTTGAAAAAGAGGGTTATAAACTACTCAAAATTCCTAGTCATGCATACATATGGACATAGAAAGAAAGAGGCCATTATTAATTTGATCACACAATGGATTGAGGCTTTCACCTTCCATCAAAATATCCTAAGCTATTTTATTTGCATAAATATTTCATCATATGCTTTATATTCCAAACTTGTCTACATAGGATGTAGCCTTCTTGAGACATGAGAATTCTTGCCTCATGCTTAATGTTTTTGATTGTCGGTTAGGGAGAGAGGGGTTATGAAAAAATTCACTACTTGCAAAGTAAACTCGAAAATTCTTTTTCTACATTCATGAAGGTAATATGGTAACAGATTAATTAGCTAATACAGGTTGTAAAGACAAGATACATAAGGTTTTGAAGGCTTAAGAACTAAACGGAGAAGTCCTTATCTCAACGAAACTTGTTAAAAGAAGAATGCCAATTTGAGCTAGCAAATCTATTTTATATAAGTTCACTTAGGGTCCGTTTGATTGCAAAGATGAAATTTGGATGGAAAGAAAACGAATTTCAAGGAATTAAATTGCCTAAAAATTGTTTTACTAAGAATTGTCAATTATTGTGTTTGATTGGTATAATTTTCCACGTGAAAAATGTTGAAATAATTTTTTTTTTTTGGTGTTTGTTTGGTTTTATTTTACATGAAAATTGTCAATTAAAAGGATGAAATTTACTAGTATTTGGGATAGAATTTGTTTCAATTGCCCAAAAAAAAAAAAAAAAGCAAAAAAAAATCATCTATCTTTTAGTGTTCGATTGACTTTGTTTTACATGAAAATTATCAATTAAAAGAAAATATTTTTTTTATAATTAGGGATAAAATTTATTTCTATTGCCCAAAATAAAATAAAATAAAATAAAATAATAAAAAAAATCGGCCAGCAGCCTAAAAAATGAATTCTCACATTTTCACCAATTTGGTGGAAAATGTCTGAGGTGGCATGGGGAAAATGAATTGCCTAGATAAAAACCTATCAAAAATGCATTTTTGATTTAGGATAGAAATCAATTTCCATTTTCCATGAAAAGGGGGATTATCAAACAATCCCTTATATTCAATCATTTTCATTTGATATAGTTATTAGAAGATTGTAAAAGAAATTGTGAGATTACACGCCCCCCTGTGTAATGATTTTCAAATATATACCTTGTGCCAAAACCCCATCCTTGCAAGGGCAAGTAGACCTTAGAACTCTTGCCCAAACTTGAATGAACTTTCCGAAAAAAAAGAAAACTCTTTGCTAAATAAGCCCACGTTTGAGCCATATTTTTAGGAGAGAGAGTAGAAATTTTTGGACCCTTTTTTTCAAATGTAGGTCCCACGCTAGATACATTCAGTCAAAAATGGTGGCTGAAAAGTGCTTATAACGTTCTATTTCTTCATTTTTAGAAGCTAAAAATGCCCTCCAAACAGGGTTTAATTATTCATAATTTTTATTACATATTTAAGTAAAATATTTGAAGAGAACACCTTGACCTTGAATTTCATGCAGTGTGAGGTTGTATTTTCAAACAGGTACTAAACATTTGACATTCACTTGTGTTGTCTTTCTCCCTTCTGGTTTGTCTCATTCGAGAAGATGATTACCTCGTATGTGCATATAGACCCACGTCATGAGACAAACAAAAAAAAATAAAAAAATAAAATGAAAATACCCATTTTATATGGTGTTTAATCACTTTCACTACATTCGAGTATGAACACAAAGTCGATGAAAATGTTCCAAGTAGAGATTTCGGTCCATACTAGCATACTCGTAAGAGGATAATGATGAATAGCATATAGAGTTAATGATTAAGCGTATTGTAACACGACATATGAAAAGAGGATAATGATGAAGAACATACAGATTTTATAATGAAGCGTACGATAACACAATTTATGAAAATAGATCTATAACGCCGATTGTCTTCTTCACTCCTTAGCTTCCAATCTTCTCGAGGTACAATGTTTTCCTAAATTATATTTTGTTAGCTGGAGATCAGGTCAAACACCCCCCTCCCAAGCTTGGATTCCAACATTATCTTATATTTATAAATATTCCATCAATTATAAAAAAAGAAAAGAAAAACCACTTTCACTGCATATATGACAAATATCATCAATTTGTGAAAATATAGAAACAAAAATAAGAAACACAATAGAAAAAGCGCGTCAAATCTTGACGTCTAGTCGCTTTCTAGAATGGGACACAAACACGAACAATATGTAAAAAAAAAAAAAAAAATCACAATTTATTTCAAAAGTATGCATCATAAGGTGCATGTACGATTCCTAAGGGAAATAATTTAATACATGGCGAAGTAATCTTGTATAACCAATGATAAAGAATATTGCCAAATACAGGAAGAACAGGTGCATAAAATTAACATCCTAGGTTATGTCCTCTCTATCTTGCCTTTTTCCTTCTCCATCTATTCTTTGGGAACAAAATTTACGGGTTTCAATCCTTTTTTCAGTTGCACATAGAGGCGACAAGAGGGTATACAACTCAAAATCCCTGGGTAAATAAGTCATATCTTAAAGCTGCTAGTCTCCATTCACGTATTTCTTCTCCGCATAATATTTCTTCTCACTTGCTTCCTTCTTTGCATTTCGTTTCTGAGGAAGTTGAAAGGTGTCAATAACAGCATTCGTAATTAGAAAACATCAGCGTATGAGCTTGTTCGGCGAAGCTTAAATTTTACTAATCTGATCAAACATACTTTTTATCCACACATTTTGTATCACCCACAACTTATAAGCACTCAAAAGTGCTACCAAACAAGAACTAAAAATTGTGACAGTCAAAAACAAAATGCTAGAGAGAAAATGTAAAGCCGTCAAAAACAAAAGAATTTAAACATTTCAAACACCTAAACAGTTAAAGCGAGTGAAGAAAATAGCATTATTTAATACACACTTCAGTATGCTAAGTTAGTTACTACTATTAACAGCAGCGTGCCTTAGTTCATGCTAAAGTGGTTCTACGTTAACTGTATTTGTCAACCAGCAAAATCATATGTACAAACATGAGAAATCATCAATAAAATTCAACTAAAGTACAGTAGAAAAATAAAGAATACCTTGTAAATCTTGTGATTGGCAATGATCCTTCGGGCTACAGATGAAGTGGTAATATCTTTGGGGCTCTCAATCATTCGGAATATTCCCATGTTTTTGGGGACTGCATAGGGATCAGATGTTCCCTGCATATAATACAAATCATTTTTTCAACCCCACGATCCATTATCCCATTTCATCGCATATTAGCTGGAACTAAAGTTTACATCATAAACAGAACATAGATCAACTTACGTTAAGCAAAGAGCTGCTCTCAGAAGTTGTCCCGTGCACTACCAGAGATATGTTGAAAGTTGCAATCTTTTCATGCCAAAAAGAAAAAAACAGAAAAAAATGCATAGATATATTTTGAGATCCATCAAAATCAAGAGTGATATAAGAGAACTTCTTTCACATATTCAGCTAAGCATTTTCACTCCAAGACCGCCTCAAACACTACCCAAAAATAAATTGATTGTCATCACTATATTTTCTCCACATTAAAAAATAAATAAATAAATGCCAGAATGGGATCGGAGATAAAGCTCAGTGACAAGTATTGAAATAAAAATGCTTAAGAAAACAGCGTGGTACACGTGAAATAATAATGGTAAAATGAACGCAATATTTATGAGCAGCAAAAATGATAACAGAAATCTCTTCACATGAGCAGTCAACAAAAAATTCTAAACAATGTAAATCGGGCAGAAAAAGAATATGGTCTATGAGAACTAGTTGGCAGCAAGAAGAATTCACTTCTCAAAAAATACAATCCATGATTTACATTTTGACCTAAACATTACTTTAGGGGTTGTTTGACAAAACTTTTGATAGAAGTTTTAGCAAATTTTGATGCAAGTTGATGAAATATATGATTGAAAATATGTGGTTGAAAAGTTGATAGAAGTTTTGAACCCCATGAAATGTGCAACTAACATTAATTGTTAACTTTGATCTCAACTTTTTAGCAACTTTTTAAACTTAACCAAACAAAAACTTCATTATGGAATACAAATTTCCTCAAATTTACTCCAGTCATGACGTAAAAGCATGTATGTTAATGCTCTTTTCTTACTGGCTTCTGAGAAACATTTACAGCAAACTCATGGCCAAAACATTGAGTTATATAAACGGGACATTTACTACACCTGATAAATTAAAATATCAATAGAAATATTTGAGGAATTTCGAGCAAGACTGTCATCTGCCATAAAAATTTTGATTAGAAGATCATCAATGAGGTGAATTTTTCAATTTATACTTCCAATAAGGTGTGACCAAGAAAGCGAAGCCAAAGAAAGTAGACTATGCCCCTGTTTGATGCCAATCGAAATCTAGATTTTAATCTAAGTCGAAGTCAACAATTATTTAACTATATATTTTATAGGTTCCACAACTTTTCAACCACACATTTCATCAACTTCTATCCAAATCTACTAAATATCTATCCAAATCTACTAAATATCTGATATTAATCTCTACCAAACAAGGACTGTATAAGTTAATGAGATTTAGCCTCTGTTTAATTTAGCTAAAAATCAAATTGTTAGAAAAAAATTAATAAACATCGATGAAATGCATTCTTGAAAAGTTGATAAAAGTTGCTGATTTCATGAAAAGTGTGGTTAAAAATGAATTTTAGAAAAATGGGGGCTAAACAGAGGGGTAACTTCCAAGAAGCTTTTTTGGCAGTGACATGCAAGTTTTATATTGACCAGAAGGCAGGATAATATAAATTATGTATCAGTTTAAAGACTTGAATATTCAACACACGGAATTAGAATCCAAGGAAACACACGAATTTTCATTATAGGAGGCTAACAATGACTACATTAAGTAAGGTCGTGATGAGTGGTCTTTTTATAACTAGCTTCGATGTCCAAGCCAGAGATACTTTTTACCCACAAGTGTAGAAGAAAGAGGTCAGACTTGGTCATTCCAGCAATACATAAAATGTCATGTAAAAGTCAAATTAAATCATGCTAAAAAGGCCATTGTCATTAGACCAATACATGACCATTAGTAGGACAAAATTTCCAGTTCCAGATTAGCTTATTAGACCAAGTGCACCAAATTTCCTTTACTTGTCTTGATAAGTATTACCATAGAAATCTACAATAGTTATTAAAAAAATTGCTTCCACAAGGACTCGTGTGGATTCAGAGAGGGAATAATTTCACAGGCAGGAAAGGCGAGAGCTTACCACATCCTTAGTAACTTCCCAAGGTGCACCAATAATAACATCATCAACATAACGGCATGCAAGCACACTAAGACTGCGTTCAAGGAGATTCATAAGTGGGAATTGAGTCCCTCTGAGTTCACTGCACAAAAATGAATATTATTTCTCCTTATTTCATCTCGGTATTTCCAGTATAACCAATATGGTGGGGTTGGGGATATTAATACTACTGTTTCGCAATGGCAATTTTGCTAATGTGAGAAAAATAATACACACACGTTAACATACCTAACAGTATGGTCAGCATAGATACCAACTAAAAGAAAATCTCCAAGTTGTCTGGCACTCTTTAGAATCTGAATATTCGCAAAGGGTAGCATAAAATACATTATATTATATACAATGGTGAAGAAAGTTATGTGAACTGTAAATAAGAGAAACTGTAGCCACAGGAAGTAGAAGATAATGAGACTAAGGAACGTAGACCATGAACCCAATGATAGTGAAAAATTATGCACTGAAGCACTCCCTCTTTACATTTACTTCCGATTAATATAGGACTTAGGTGCTATCACCTCATGCAATAGAGAAATCTTTCTTGCATTTGGAACCAAGACAATTGAGCTTTATTCTAATTAAGGCTTGAACTGCTCATTTTTCCTTCACCGCGAGTATACAATATAGATTAGTTAAAGCTATATCTTCACAATACCAAAATTTGGTGACGGCACGTTAATTTGTGGAATTTAATTATGGAAGCTACAAATATACCTCCACATGTCCGGCATGAAATAGATCAAATGCCCCATCAATGTACACAACACGAGCATTAGGTCCAGGCCCCTAAAAATCAAACAAAACAACAGGAATCACCAAAATACATCAGTGAAAGAATAATTAAGTCTTTATCAAAGAAGGGATTTGAAGGAAAACACAATAAGTAAATTTTAGAGATATTTCTTAAAACACAAGAAAGCAACACTATTCCTCCATCAACAATCAGTGATGTCATATATATCAAAGAACATATGTAAAATGTTAAGGCCTCATTTCATTGCATGACCTGATTACACTTATTTGAACAATTTATAAAATAAATAATTAAAGAATAATCAATTATTTCTAAAATTGTAATCATTAACTTGATAACCAAACGGATAGCCAGATTTTGATTGCCATACTTTTTCTCATTAAACCAGATAAGATTATCTCAAACCAAACGGCGCTTTGTTCAGTTATCCAGTTGAATATCATTGCATCCATTAAGAAATTCTGATTTATTTGTTCATTATATAACTTCTTTCTGGACCCTTTTCACGGGTAATGATTTCAAAAGTTTGCTCCTTCAAATTCAGAATAGAGCAAGACATCACAAACGGTTCAATCCTGATATAAGGTCTCAGGGAAATTTTGCCACTTTGGTCTTGAGACATTTATACTATTTTGTTCTTCAAGAAAAGTTCCTAATCTCTTTATCCTGTCCTTCATTGAGCCACATCAGTGAGAACTCGAAGAGAACTTTTTATTACAATGATACATTGCAATTAGTAATGCACAACATCGACTTCACAATATCTGTATTAATTGATGAAACAAAAAGATTCTCATCACGTTAATGATTTACGCACTTACCTCTTTATGAATGATGACAGTTACAAAATAGAGTAAATTTACCTTGCCATTTGAAAATTGGACAATTCGTCTTGATGTCGGTAGAAAATGAGATACATGGCCACCCTTAGCTAGAGATCCCGTACTCTGGCTATCATTCAAGTTTTCAGATTTGCCACTGCGGGGTGATTCAGAGAATTCTTTATTGACTTTAATATCCTTATCAGAAGAAAGTATCCTTCCTACAGACATCAATTCATAGATTAAAGCAACGACATCCTCACATTAAACACAAAAGGAGACATAAACAATAAGATAAAATTTGTACATTACACTGATATTCTGAGAGTGTGAAGAAAATAAAACAAAGTTATGTAGTTCTACAAATTGCGCTATGTTTATGAATCAGGTTTGTTCTCATTCACTACAATCAGGATGTGTTGATTTCCAATATCCCCTAAATGCCATCTATAATTTTTGATAAATAAATTCAAGACTGGACATCATCATCATCATAGTGGCAAGTACTTTAAAGAAACTGGTTTCCTTTATTTTATGCTAGAGTGTGTCCATATATCTTAAGTAGTTATGTTTCACAAATGAAGAATTTGAAGGGCCAAAACAAGACAGAATGATAGGATATGACGATGGGACAAGTGAAATTTTGTTGTGCTAATATCAATTTTCAAATCATGATAGAAGGTTTGTGACTGTGGGCTCTGCATTTGCTTGTTCATTTTTCAATTAACAAACATGTGGCAAAAGTAAAGCATTCTGATGGTGATGTGAGAGACGTACGTGTCAACTGAAAGAGTGTGAGGGCATGTTCTTAAAAATAAAACCTTAAAGAAGTAGGCATAAGTAAACATGAAGCAAGATTATATAATTTCCACAAATATTTGAGAGGTTAGTGGAGTCTGTTCAAAATGTTATTCTTTTAAGTATATATACATTGTTTAACACAAATCGTAATATTGTATAAGAGGATTACAGTACCTACAATATCTGTGCTGGATACTCCTTCAGTGCGTTTGATCTGCTTGTAGCGGCCAGCTTTCTTTGCTAGAGCATAAGCATCAGTTCCATCAGGAAGAAGGCAGGGATCATCACCATGTATTATATAGTCAATATTGTGCTCGTTGAAGAGACGGTGCATAAACTCCTCCGTAATTTCATAGGGAGCATTAGCAATAACTTCATCCACCCACTTCAACCCACTAACTAGGGTCAGCCTGGAAATGACTCAAATTAGATTTTTGCCTGAAAACATCCCCATGATTGGAATGGTCAAACTGGTTTGTACTCAAAATCTGATGCTAGTAAAGCCATTTTGTGTTTTTTTGTAGCTCTGAATTTTAATAAAAATTACCAAAAAGTGGTATCTTCATTCAAAAACATTTGTCATATATAAAATATACACTGGAAGGGTAGACGTATCACACTCTAATGCTGCATATAGCAAATATATAAGTGTATCCATTCAGCATATACCACCCACACTATCATTGAATATATGATTAGCAAATATCAATTTGAGTATAAAAATCTATAAATATGCATCACTCATTCTCAAACTTATAATGAAAAGGTATTCAACCTATTAACAGATACTTTCACATATGAATGACCTATTTACTTTGAATATCAAAGGCAATACATAAAAATAATTGCAAATTATTTATACCTCTCTTGCATAGATAAAACAGGAGGGCCTTTGTTGGCTATGATCTCTTCATCACTAACTACTCCGACAACCAATTCATCACCCAACGCTTTGGCTTGCCGCAGGGCATTTGCATGGCCATAGTGCATCAGATCAAAACATCCATCCATGTAAACACGGACGCGTTTCTTCTCATAATACTTCTTATGAAAAATCCTCAAGTCAGGTAAAAAGTAAGGCAGTGACTGAATGCCAAAGTAGCTTGTGGAGAAACCAAGCAACGCACAAGTAAGCATTATACCACCAAACAGATGTGGGTAGTGATACACCCCATCCCAAACCCGACCAGTGCTCTCTAAATCCATTTGACTCTTCTACTTTTTGTGGTTCGAGGCCCTTAAAAGGCCTTTTTCTTCAATATACGAAGAGACACAAACCCTGCAATTAAACCCCAATACAGATTCAAATAATAGGGAATCAATTTCCGGACTTTCCTAGCCTAAATGAAAGGACACGGCTTCAACTAGAAAACTGAATCTCTTCAATCAGAATTATGGTTGTTAAGCCAGAAATTCACAAAAAGATTTAGATATAATGAATTAAATATAGATCCTGTAAGAAATCCTTGAATTTCATTGACAAAATAATAAAAAGATTCGAACTTTACTTCCAAAAATTTATCATACATTAGCCAAATCACAATAATCCAGAAAAAAAAAAAAGAAATGAAATCTTGATTTAACAAGATCCCTAATCCAATTCACGTAAAGAAATCTAAACATGAAATTAACAGATCACATTCTGGCAATAACTCCCATGTAAACCAGCAAAATATTAATCTAGCTCGAAATTCATAACAAATAACATAAAAGATCAGAAATTTTCGAATGATTCAAAAAATGGAATTGCAGAAAAAGAACCTGAGTGAAGGCGAATTTCGAGAAACTCAAGAAATTCTAGCATAAGGGTCGGATTCTATTTATAAAATAAAAGTGTTTATAAACAAACAAACCTCAGAAAGTAAAGAATTTTTTTATTTTATTTTTTTAATTTTTGCGATATATTGCATTGAAACTAACGCGTTAGCAGAAATCAAGATTCTACAAATAATGGGTTGTCTTGTCAGATCAGAATCTTTACCTTTTTCCCTCTTGCTGCTTGTGTCTCCTTTCTCCTCAACTTCTTTGAAAAGGGGCGGTGGAAGTAGATATATAAATATCCACCACCTTAGGATCTTTTCAATGTCTATGAAGAAAAAAAACTTTTCTTGCATAAGTGGTTAATCTTCAACCAAGAGCGAAGAACCTTGACTAATTGAATTTGGGCCAATTTTTAGGGAAAATGTCACTTTGTCGAAAATATTTGACCAGGAATGACAGACACCCACAAATTGTGAGGGTCCCACATAAATTAAATAATACCCGTCCTGAGGCATGTGTTTGATCATCTCCTAATTCGATCCAATTTTTATTGGCCATGAATCCTTTAAATATTGATTTAAAAAATATATATATACAGTGATAAAACATTGAAACATGAATCAAATATGTTGTTGAAATGATATACACCTCTGTCTTAAATATATACGTTATATTTTCTTATTTTCTTGTTTCAATTATATATCTTACTTCTTTATTGAGAATGTTTTGTTGTGTTCATTTATTAAGTTACCCTTATTTAATTTGTTTAGTTATTATCGATTTTCCCACATAATCTTGAAATAGTACAAATATAAATAAAGGCAAATTAGGAAAGTTTTTGATAAAAATCACTTTTTTTAATAACATTAAATAAGATTTTTTTAATTCGCTTTAAAAATAAAGGGAAATGCAACTTGTCCCAACTCGGGGACCGACCAAAATCCAGGGTGCCGAGATGGCAACACCTCAGCCCTTGGATCTGATAAAAAAAAAAATTGAAGTTGAAATCGGGGCCTGAGGTGATGCCACCTCACCTCCCCTGTTTTTGGGTCGGTCCCCGAGTTGGGACCTGTAGCATGTTTGAAAAATAAAACAAACCTATATAAATGAGACGATGGAGTATGTGTTTGACACTTGGCCAACTTTCGACTATTGAAAGTGATGTGATTTTTTATTTTTTTTAATGAAATGTTCAATGAATATAAGCTAATTATATAAATTATATGTAATGTATTACTTAAATGTATGTTTGACGAACTTAAATTAATACATTGCATCAATCCTTAATTATTTTTTAGCATTCAAGTCTTCAAACTTTCAATTTCAGAGTTTGTTAGTCACAATTAAATAAAAACCATTAAATATTCGCACGCCATGCGCATGATACTTTTTTAGGTATATATTCATCAATAAACGTTTATTACACTCAAAAACAAGTATAGAGAAACAAAAAGGAAAGAAAACGAGAAATATATTACCTACCAACCATCACCATCCAACATTACAAACAATTGGAGGGCTTTGCAATTGAGCAACACAAATTTATGGCCCCAACTGGGTTCCATTTCCACTCAAGCTATCCCAAAAGAAGTGATGGACACATTTATTCCATTAAGTTTCTAGTATTTTATCAATTATTGTGTTTGTATATATATA